GAGAACAAGCAGAAACTGTTCGACATTTGTTCCTTCACTGCAAGATCACATTTCAGCTTTGGAGGCTACTCATAAACCTTAAAGGTTTCTCCTGGACTATGCCAGGAAAGGTTACAGAGGCCCTTCAAAAGTTGGGAAGAAGCTGGGGTTCTGGCAAGAAGCAGAAGTAGGTGGAGAATCATACCAGCCAGCATATGGTGGACAATCTGGAAGGAGAGAAATTCTAGGTGTTTTGAGAACATAGAAAATAGTATAGAACAGATCAAATTGAATTGTATCTTTATTCTAATGTTTTTGGTGTAATCAGATTCGGTCTAATGATCCTGTATCTATTATTGATGTGTTAGATTCATTATAGACATGGGATCATAGGATCTAGATTTACTTGTAAATATGGCCCTAGTACAGCCCATGTACTGATCTGTTTCTATCAATAGACACAAAGTTACCAGTTTCAAAATAAAAAAGAAAGAAAGAAGTCCCACATCGGTAGAGGGATGGGAATTTGGTCTCCTTATATGGACTTGGACAAACCTCCCCTCATGAGTTAGTTTTTGGGATTGAGTTAGGCCCAGGTGTCATATCTTTACATGGTATCCGAGCCAAGCCCATCTCAATTTGTTGTTCACCGATGATGGCCCCCCATTTAGAAGTGTTCACGCTTCTGTTGAGGTCTGGGCGTGCGGGGGAGTGTTAAGAAGTCCCACATCAGTAGAGGAATGAGAATTTGGTCTCCTTATATGGACTTGGACAAACCTCCCCACATGAGCTAGCTTTTGGGGTTGAGTTAGGCCCAGGTGTCATATCTTTACAATAAGCATGAATAACAAAGAAATTGATTGTTTTTAATCAATGGTTTAGCATCGCCTCTTCAGGACATGCTCATTCAGAAGGAAAAATATGTCTTAGAGCCTTGATGACGACACTGAAGCGCTCATTAAGTGAGGCTAAGCGCTCAACGCGTTTTGAGCCTCGCTTCAAGGCTTAAGTGCCCCTTTGATAAAACTGGTGGTAGGATTTTTCAACATTCTTGGATAGATTGGAGTAGGAGGTCTGAACAGCTATGGCAAGCTCTGTCTGAGAGGATTCGGCTTCTTGCGTTAAGGAGTTGACTCGTTGAATCAGCTTATTCGTGGTCTTGATTCCTTCACACTGATTGTCATCCATGGAGATTCTCAGCTTCCCAACATTTGTGCTAGTGTCTTTGGAGGTCCTTGTCCCCGGTCTCTGCAGCTGCTGCATTCCATCCTCCAGAGCTGCTAACCTGCCTTTTATCTCACCTGCTTCTTTAAGCAATTCTGAGGCTGAATCAGCAGAGATCTTGCTGCCCTTTGGCTGCTCCACTTTAACCTTCACTAAGCCCTTCTTTGACCATTTATCATCATGTAGAACATATCCCATGCTAGCAAATGCTTGAGTATCATATGTAGAGGAAACTTCCAGGGGTTTATAGGTAGAGATGTCAATCATAGAGGCAGTTAAGATGCGGATGATGATCAGTACGTAGGGAAGGCTTGAAGTAGCACCTGATTCCTCAGCACTCTTGACAATGTATTCACGAATTCACTTAACCCAGTTGATTTATTACTTTTCTAATAAGCAATAAAGTACAAATGGAAAATTTACCCAAAGTTTAATAAGTGCACAAAGTTCCATCGATGTTGTCTCCATATTGAACTTCATAATTTGTTGCCCCTTTCTTCTATAGTCTAGTACATTGTTAAGAATGTCAACAAACACGTAGTGATCAGTTTCACCCCAAAGTATATTAAAATGTTGGACAACAATGCTTAAATGGCCAAACCATGCCATTGGTGATTGCTCCAAACCATAAAGAGGCACTGTTGACATACTAATCTAGACTTGCCCTAAGCAACAACACTAGCATTTGCTGTTGACTTCCTCCGTAAGTTCATGATGAAAGAAGACATTTTTTCTATCAAACTGATAATGGAGCTAATGAAGTACAACGGTGATCCTAGGCACTGTGAAAGAAGTATTTTTCAGTTAGACTTTTAGAGGACGGAAGAGATGTTGCTCCACGAGCACTTATGTGGGTCGTATTGAGAGAGAGATGTGGGTCATATGGAGAGAGAGTTATACAAGAGCTTTTGAAGGAGTAGAGAATGATTTCTTGTAATCTATTATTCCTTACTTTTTATTTTTGGTGCACCCATGAGGCTCCTGTATGTACAGAAGATTGAAGCGTTGTTCATGGAGAACTATTTCTTTTTGTAGTTTTTTCTTAGAATTTTTTGTTATGCTGCTTGTATGCGATTGTTTTGTCCCGTCATGAATAAAACTATTTTACATTATAAAACTAAAGGTCAATGAGACATAGCTGCAGTGGAGATAAGGTGGCGGATAGATGCAATTATGGCCACCAAACAAAAGGTATCACCATAATCAATGCCAAAAATCTGAATATATCCCCTGAGCACCAATTTAATTTTAAGATGATCAACCTTTCATCAGCACTACGTTGACTTTAAGCACCCAACGGCATCCAACTATTATTTGCCATGTACTAAAATAACTATCTTCCAAGTACCATTGTCATGCAGAGCTGTCATTTCCTCAATCATAGCTTGATACCAAACTGCATGATCATTTCTTTTGCAGCAATTATAGGTATTTTGACAGTGGATAAATTTGTAAAGGAGACATGATATGAAGGTGATAAATGGTGCTAACTTAAGTAATTATAAGCCGGATGAGGGTTACAAGTAATTCGAGTACCTTTTTGAAGAAAAATAGGAAGGTCCAGCCTATTACTCAATGAAACAGGGAATATAGTTAGACTTGGCAAAGAAATACCAGGTGGACTTTGTATACTTTGATCATGAGCTAAAACTTCAACTGGAATTGACAAGCTTCAACCAAGGTCCATCATATGTATTTTCTTGGGGGTACTCTCACCTTCAAAGGGTTACAAATGCTATGTACTATACATAAGTACTTTGTGAGGCAGATGCAAATTTTATGAGACACCCCCATACTTTTCATCAAATCTGCCTGATTAAATAGCCTTAGGTAGAGTTCTTGTTATTCCGACTCTTCTGACTCTAACCTTCTCATAGATGAACCCATTAGAGCAAACCATTTTACTCATGCCAGTTAACCAGACCAAGTTTTAACTAAAACAAATAATGCTCATCCTAATCCTTGCCTACCTCATTAACATCTCTAAAGATGCTGTTATTTCAATTATGTTAAGACTTTAACTAAACCTCATCCTTTCTCCAAATTCATGCTTTGCCACTTAAACTGCAAAGGGGATTGGAAAAATAAAGGGAAAGGATTTGAATTGTATGTATACCTTTACACTATGATGTGCCTTCTATTTAATCAATTTCTCATATTTCTTGTATTATTGTGACTTGGCAGTGTTAATCCATTTAGACTTATTGGAGTTGGACTGACAGTCTGGACCTTTGCTACTGCTGGTTGCGGCCTGTCAATTAATTTCTGGTCCATTACCATCTGCAGAATGTGAGTAGATTATGCCAGTTCTTTTGAATGCTACCTGTTTTTCTACTTTTTCTTTTGGGGGTGGTGGTTGTTCTATTTGTTAATAATTTATTTCCTCTATCAGGATGGTGGGTGTTGGTGAGGCATCTTTTATAAGCCTTGCTGCTCCATTCATTGATGACAATGCCCCAGTTGATCAGGTTTGTTTTGCATTTGTGATTCAGCTATGTAAAGTTGCTGACTTAGTAGATGATGCATGCTGTACTGCTTGTCTTTTATTTCTGTTCTGAGGCAAAGAATATTCTGGGTAGCTCTGGCCTCTGAGTGCTAACATCTATTGCTAATGTGATGGGTAGTTCTGCTGTTCCTCTGCCTGTACTCCTGTTCCATTATTGTTCAAAATTATTTATGCTTATAATACAAGGTGCAAGCTCTCGCCTCCTTTTCATTTTTAAATATGGTGTGCCTAGACTTTGTGAGGCCCCCCATAAAAGTATGATTGCATTAGTGGGCGTAGTTTTACCTTTTAGTATATTTGAAGGCTTCTCTGCGTATTGCCATTGAGAACTATGAGTTTATGATTTATTAGCTGGAGCAAAACTGAGAGTATCAGTCTGGTAATAATTGTAACTCTGAAACATTGGGACAACGCTTCCAGTCCTATGCATGAGTTTCTACTTAAATGTTACCTAGTCCATGGATTACCAAGTGTCCTGGTAATGAAGACCAATCACAATTCCTGTAAACAAATATTTAATATACTGTAGGTTAGGTTCAGTTGGTTAGAGCTTGTGGCTGTTAACCACAAGGTCGGAGGTTCAAACCCTCCTTCTAGCGTTCTCCATTTATTTACACTAGGTATGTTGTTGTACTGTAGGTTAGGTTCATTGAACTCTCTTGTTGGCTTGGTTAAAGCAAGTTGTGAGGCAATTACTTCTTTTTAATTGCTGGATCTATTTAACATAGATCTTCTGTACAATGTTGTCCATGAAGATATCTGTCAGAAAATGAGCATAACCTGGCTTTATGCAAGTTGTTTCCTATTTTTGTTGTTTTCCTTTTCTAAACTATATGGTTCCATATTTTGTTGAAATTCCTCAAAATTGTGTAGAAGATGTTGTGATATGAACAACAATGCTTCATAATGGAAATGAATGCTCGTTCCAATTTAACCTTCTTGTATCTTTCCTAGTTTATCATGTTAACAAAGACATCTAATTAAATATAACTTTTTTTTTTCTTGATGATCACTATTTTTTACATGCTTCTTCAACTTCATAGCTGCTTGTGTACAACTGTCAAATGTTTCTGCATCTCATATTATGTCTGTAATGTGATGCATGCTAATTCTCCTTCATGTCAGAAAACAGCATGGCTGGGAATATTTTACATGTGTATACCAACTGGGATTGCTGTTGGTTATGTATATGGTGGATTGGTGAGCTTGCTTCAGTTGCTATGAGTTAAGCTTTTCTTGGGGAAAGTATCTTTTGTGGAGCATGCCAAGTCTTACTAAAGCTCCGCTCTGTGGTAGGTTGGAAGTCTTCTTAATTGGCGTTGGGCGTTCGGGATAGAGGCATTGCTGATGCTTCCTTTTGCAATTTTAGGTTTTGTGATGAAACCATTGCAATTGAAAGGTGATGTAATATTAATTATTCAGTTCAATGCATTTTCCAGACAATTTCTAAAAATGTTTCTACAGGGTTCTCGCACACCGGATCAAAAAGACCATCGACTTCTGTGCAGACTTCTTGCACAGAAGCAGGTAATGCCTACTATCACTCATATGTGTTCATTTCACCTTCTCTACCTAATTCAACAGGGTTCACAATTCTTGTCCTAACCTACAAGATTCCTTTACCTGGATGATGTGCTTGGGAGGTACATCCTCCCAAATATATTAATCTGTGAACAGGAATGTTATTTGGCTCTTTTCTTTTATAAGCAAATGCGTTGCCAAGAACTCAGAAAATCACATATGAAGATTGTATATCAAAAGATAGTAATTTTGTTGGGAGAAGTTCTTGTTTTGCACACATAAAACCTGAACTGCTAAATAATACTATAAGTTAGGTTGTTCATAGATGTATACAAGTAAAATAAAAGAATGTCGCTTGAGGTGCTTCCACCATGTCCTAGCTTGATTTTAAGAAAATCTCTTTTGTTTGTGTAAACTTGAAGATGCAAATAGTATTGATCATTTCATGAAATTTGTTAGCTCCTTGATTTACAGTTCGTTATTACAGGAACATTGTACAGGAGCTACTGTTTTGCTAAGCTGATGTATCTTTTAGCATCTTCTAGATGCAGTTTAATGAAAAATACCACATTTTGCTTGATAAAAAAATGTTTTCTGTCCTATGTAGATGTCCATATGCGCCAATAAGTAGGATCATCTTTTTAAAATAAAAATAAAAATTATGGCCACATCATGGGCCAGATTTTATTAATCAAAATGGTCCAGCAATAGTAAGTAGGAGCATCAGTATCATTACATAAGGTGATACTCACCAGTAAGTATGATCATCAATATCATGGCATAATGTGATAACTGGGGACAAGGTAAATCTATTGTTAGATTGTTCAAGGAAGTAGTCTAAAAAGACTTACAACCTCCCAAATTTAATGCCAACGTACTAATGACAGAATACAATGTAAAAGGGTTACCAACTAATTGTGATTAATACAGTCATCATTATACTTAGACTACATCAGGTGCTTGTGAAGATCGACCAACTAGTTGCCGTTTTATGTTAGTGAATGGATAACTGTGAAATTTAAAGAACTTCTAGTTGTAGAAAATCCATTGCCTTTAACAAATTATTTGGTATTATAATGAAGGCATAGATATAATGATGTTGATAGAAGATTCATTATAGTCCTTACTAATTAGATAGGGTGTAGTTGATTGATTGAATGATTTTTTAGAGTACATTGAATGATTCTTTTATCATGATTTTATCCTGGTCTTGATAATGGAATGAGATCATCTATCCCATATAGAAGGTGGGATAGATAATCCTGGTTATAATCCCAGGATAACCTAGTTTTGAACCAAACGACCCCTGAAGGATAACTCAGCACTGTGATGGATAAAGTTGATGTTATCTCTGTTCCTTTTTATTTGTTTTCCTTGCAAGGTTCTTTCTTGTGATTATATCAATCACACCATAATTTGATTTTAATCTCTTTTCATTAATGCAGTTACTTCACCTTGTCAAGATGGTTCATCCCAAACAAGGAATGATTCCATGGATGGGTAAGGAGCATTCATAAAAACATGGTCTATGACAGCCAAAATTTACCATCATGCGTGCAAGCATGATTGGAATTGGCATTCACTGATCGCTGTAATATAGTAGACAACTTCGTCATGCATCTTATTTTTCTCTCTCCTTTGCAGTTCAAAAAGTGCACCCGGAATTTTGAACCAATTTACAAGATTTTGGATGGATATGAAGGTGCTTTTGCTTGACAAGGTCTACGTCGTGAATATCCTAGGTATTGTATTCACTTGTTCGACTTTGTTGATTTGATGCTTCTTTGTTCTTAGTATTCTTATACTGGTATGTGGTTGAACCTATTTTGAATTTCCTACTATCTATCTATACTAATATAGAAGTGGGAAGCTCCAAACTAAAATACCCCTCAAAAGTTGATGACCTTTATACCCCATTAGAATTAAATATTCATAATGTTAATGTAAAAAACATTTATACACCCTATTCAGTATTATAGGCTGTGTTGTGTGTAACTCTTCTCTCTCTTTTCTCTCTCTTTTCTTCTCTATCTATCTCTCCCCTTCTTCCGGTACCCACTTTCCTAGGGTTCTGATGGATAACAGCATCTATTTTGCGGTGGGTTTCAAATCTTTTGACATAACAATCATGTGGCACAACAGAGATATGGTACGAGTGGACTGAGAGGAGTAGAAATTTCATCCGGAGAACAACTTTTAACAAGATGACTATGGAATGGATCTCTCAAAGTCTGAGAGAAGCATCGAAAGTGAATGGTAACTTTGTCAGAAGATGGAAGAGAAGAGTTAATTTCTCAGAAACATTTTGCTCTAGGAATTTTAACAAGTTTGGCTGGTGTATCAGCATTGTGAGTTTAAGGGGGGAGAAAAAGATCAATGGTAATCATACCGGAACTGACATTAGTTTAGGATGGAATTTTATTGCTGACAAGATAGAAGTTTTTTTGAAGAAACAGGATCCCCATTCTAGGGCTGAGTCAAGATTAACTGAGAAGAACCTTCCATACTCTGAAGCTGCCAGGAGCTTTAAGTGGTTGAGTAGGGAAGGTAATGAGGACATTTAAGACTCCGTATTGATGAAGGGAGGAGTTATATGCATTGATGAGGGGTCAAGCTCCCAAAGTGAAGTTTTACAAAGATGTTTGGTCGGGGCTTTCCCAGATAATGTCTCAGAGTTTCCCATCCAATCAGAAGTCAGAAGATGGGCAAACACCTTATGGAAACAAGTCATGGCCTGAGCATCTATGCAAACAGAAATTTCCTTTTTGAGTTTGCATTTTCCATAAGCACTTGATCAGTTCTTTTTTACTCTAAATAACGTTTGAACAGTTGAACCTGTCAAAGATAAGTAGGTATATCCAAATCCTGGTTTTTGAGATTAGTCAACCGACTAATCACATTATAAAAGCGGGAGATTTTTTTGTGTATAGCCTTTTCCCAAACTAAGAAGCACGTATGGAATGATTAAAACAACGACATCAACTTCGAATCAATAGCTTTCCAGAATAGACTACACAATTGAGTATCAATCTTCTTCCATTTTCCCCTATCCTTTTCATTAATATCTGTAGCTTGTTTAATTAAGTAATCGTGAAAATGTTTCCCCTTACACCATAGTTATATTGAAGATGACCAAGTAGTTTGCACTACCTATTAAGGGTTCAATAGTGATAGAATGGTTCGAATTGTTGGAAATCATGATTTTTTTAGAACCAAAAATATATAATCCGAGGGACATTTTTTTCAAATTAGTTGAAAAAACCTCAAATCAAGGGTAAGATACAGCTACCAGATAAAATGATGATCCAAGGTCTGGGACAGAGCAGATCTCGTCGGAAACAGTGAGGATGTTTGCCGAAAGTCCACTGCCTCATTGGAAAGTGATCGGAATCTAGTGGAACCTGTATAGGTGGTCTCAGAATAAGGGGGTGAGTCTATCTGAAAAAAAGAACTCTCCCTCAAGCGGTCGGAACAGATCTGGCTGAGTTTTGGTCGTGGAGGTGTCCTGGTTCCATTGTGGTGTTGGTTTAATCACAACACCAATAGAAACACAGGTTATGTCAGATGGTCGTGAAAGTTGTCGGAAACTGGCACGGCAACATAATTTTATTCTTCCAATATGTTACTGACGTTAATCAGGCTCTAATACCATGTGAGGTGGAAGAGAAAATAAGAGAATAGGAGTAAATTAAGTTACCTGCTATGTATATTCTAGAATATTTACAAGGATACTGTTTGTAAATTTGTTTATCTCAAACTCAAAAAACTATACTATATAATATCCTGGAGCATTAAAGTCAATCTAAAAAAATCACATTCTTTTTTTGGGGAAGTTACACATTTGGCTGCTCGTCTAAAATATGTACAGCCACTAGCCAATATACATATCTTATACAACTATTTATGCATATCTTATACATCTGTTGGCTAATCTTTTGGCAGGCAGTTATTTAAGTTAGTTTCCCTTCTTTCTTTTTGATGGGCAACTAAAAACAATTGTTGCTAAATAGGATCATCATTCATTTTTCTCAAATAACTTAAATTTTTTTCTTTAATTATTATTTTGTAACTCAAACACATTCTTTAATACTCCCTCAATTTAAAAAAGAATGGCCTAGTTTGACTTGGAACGGAGTTTAAGAAAAGAAAAAAACTTTTTAATCTTGTGGTTCTAAATTAAAGTTATGTCAAATCATATATCATATATATATATATATATAGGGAAAATACATAAAAACCCCCCTGAACTTGGCAGCAGAACTTACTTTAACACTTAAACTATACGAGCGTTTATTTACCCTCCTAATTTCATTTCGCGTGAATTTAATACCATCCTAACGGATGACGTGGCAAAAAAAGAAAAGAATTTTTTTTGAAAGCACGTTAAGTTATTTTTAAAAATAGTAATGGTCCCACTTTGTATTTATGAAAAAAAAAAGAAACCCACCCACCCCATTCTTCTTCTTCTTCAAACCCCCCCACCCCGCTTTTTCAAAACCCCACCTACCCCCTCTGCCTGCTTGTCTTTTCTTCCTCAAACTCCCCACGTCACCCTTTCCCCAACCCACCGCATCCTCTTTCTCCTTCTTCAAACTCTACATTCAAAGCACATAAATAAAAAGAATCAGATCCACATAATTTTTTTTACTCTTTAATTTGGAGATTTGATTTTTCTTAAAAAGTTATGAATTTTTTTGAAAATAAAGACTTGGGCATAAAAGAAGATGAGGTTTTGTTAACCGATCTATAATGTTAATGGTTGGCAATGGCGATTGAAGCAATGGGTAGAGAAAGTTTTTTTTTAAAGAAAAATCACTACAAATAAATGTGTTTTTCTTGAATTAGTTAAGAATTCCACATTAGTCTGGTTCAACATGGGCTTGTGTTTTTTGGTGTAAAAATCGTCATCGTGCTTGGAGTAGTGCAACACATGTTAGATCCATTTAGAATTGGTGTGGAGCAACAAAGCATAAGTAATATGTTTCCAGAAGAAGTTCAAATCAGTGCTCTTTTTATTGTGTTTAGAACAAAGAGTCTATAATTAGCTTTTAGCTTCAGCTTAATTTTCCTATTAACCTTCTTAATATATAGAATATGGTTCTGTTAATTGCAAAAAAAAAGTTAAGAATTAGAACTTGATTAGTATATAAAAATAAAAAAAATAAAGAACACCGACAATCGACAATGGCAGTAAATGACGTTGAGTATTGAAAAAAAATCACTGGTAATGACTTCAATTTTTCTTAAACTAATTAAGAACTAAAGATTAACTAGTATTTAAATATTCTGAAAAGGAAAGAAGGAAATGAATTTAAAAAATCAAAAATCAAATTTTAGAGAATTTCCCATGTGGCTATGACGTGGTGCTTATGTGGTTCTGATGTGTCAATGATGTGGCGCGTGTGTAATACACTTGCCAACTTGAGACTGGTATTATATTTTTAGGGTGGTAATAATTCACTTCAAATATGTTAAGGGGGGTATTTAAACGCCCGTATAGTTTTAGTGTTAAAGTAAGTTATGCTACCAAGTTCAGGGTTTTTTTATGTATTTTCCCATATATATATATACATATATATATATACTAGTTTTGATGCACATGCATATCAAACCATGTACTATACTATTTTTAAAAACTCTGAATATTATTAAATAAAAAAATTAAGCAAACAATTATAAAATGAATGATAAAGTATAAGTTCTTGTGAATAGTGGATGTAAATTTTCTTATTATTACTACTGAAAAGTTAGTCACTCTTAAAGTCCCTGAGTTACACCTCTTAAATGTACTTTCTCCTCCCTCCCCCATAGGCATTACTTAGTTAGTATTGTATTGTTGGAGTTCGTACTTTTTATATAATATAATATAAAAAAATATTGATATAAAATATAGAAGATATACTAAATTGGATATTTTTAGTTGGAGTATTATATTAATTTACCATTCATGTTAAGGAGTGTTCTGATTTCACTTAACTTTGAGATTGTCAATGTCCGTAAATCAAACTTGAGAAGAATAAAAAATTTTTAAAAAATCGTGTTTAAAAATGTGAGGAAACCCCTCCATTTATATTAAACAAAGTGTAGTATGAGCATGTGCATATTTTTTTTTATCATAAAAATCACAACCCTTCGGAAAAGTCACAAGTCATCGGAAAAGTCAAACTCTTTGGAAAAGTCGTAACCATTCAATGTGAAATGGTGTCTTCTTTTAATATAAAATATATAAGATATACTAAATTGGGTGTTTTAAGAAGAAGAAGAACAACGAAAAACTTTAAAAAAATTGTAGTTTAAAAATTTGAGGAAACCCCTGTATTTATAGCCAACAAAGGGTAGTGTATGAAAAATGTTTATTGTGCCTTATCAAAAAAATGTCACAACCCTTTAGAAAAGAAACAACCCTTCAAAAAGTTCACAATACATCGGAAAAGTCATATTTCTTTGGAAAAGTCACAATCCTTCGAAAAAGTCACAACTTGTCGGAAAAGTCGCATACCTATAGAAAAGTCACAACCCTTCGAAAAGGTCACAACTCATCATGAAAGTTATAACTCTTTGGAAATATCACAACCCTTCAATGTGAAAAGGTGTGTGCCTTTAATATTATATACTTCCTCTGGCCCAATTTATGCGGCACTTTTCGTTTTTCGAGAGTCAAACAGTTTAAGTTTGACCGGCAATTTGCGCATGTAATGTTCAATTTTTTCGAAATGATATTTATATATTTGTAAACTATGTAAAAAGTACTACAAGTCACAATAATTGATAATTCAAAATGTTTAAAAGATCTATGAAAAACTTACGTTATAAAATAGACTTGTTTGAATCTCGAAATCCGAAAAGTGCCACATAAAATGGGACGGAGGGAGTAATATAAAGTAAATAAATAAATAAATATAATACAATATAAAATATAGAAGATATACTAAATTTGGTGTTTTAAGTTGTGGGTATTACAATAATTCAACATTTAAGTTAGGTAGTTCATTATTTTAAGATAGTATAGAATATATATAGATAAAAGCATAGATATAGATTTATCTAATTTTAATTTGATGTGAAATTTTTAAAAATAAAGAGGACTCATAATTTAAGGATATGTAGAATATATAAAAATGACTTTTAACTTTGTGGTCTTAAAGATGCGCCCCACCCCCAAGAAAAAAATAAATTATATATTAAACTGAATAAAAATAAAAGTACAACAAATAAATTAGAAACGGAGGAGTACTAATTAATCCAGTTTGGACTCTTCAAACAAGTTTTTGATCGAATCTTTTTTCTCCAACAATTTGAGACTTTTCACAACTTGAAAACACCAAGTTGTAGTTTGTGCAACAGAAAATCATTGATGTTCTTGTCAAGTGGAAGTTGCTGCAAAAGTATATTTATGGCTATGAAAATGAGTACATATTAATTATCTAGATAGTCTTCTCGTTTGTAGTTGAGTTATTCCATTCTCCTTGTTGCATCAATTTTTGTTGATCTATCTAATTTATCCACAAAAAATACTGTAATTGAATAATTGATCAACTCTCACAATCTTCCTTGTTTTAAGAAGAAAAACAGAAACTTATAAAATTTGTAGTTTAAAAGTGTGATAAAACCCCACTATTTATAGACAACAAATGATAGTATGAAAAGGTACTTACGTGCCTTATCAGATAAATCACAACCCTTCAGAAAAATCACAACTCTTTGGAAATGTCATAACTCATCGAAAAAGTCACAACCCTTCGGAAAAGTAACTACCCATCAATGTGAAAAGGTGTTAGCTTTTAATATAATCATATATCATATCATATATATATATATATATAATTATAATATATATATATAAAAGAGAACTCTAGACCCGCCTACGTGGCGCCACCACAAACCAGGATTCCCTTTTAATTTATTTATTTTTAAAACTAGCCCTTCCCTTTTATGAAAAATTGTGACTTTTATGAAAAGTTGTGACTTTTGTGAAAGGTTGTGACCTTTCCGAAGGGTTGTAACTTTTTTCAAAGAGTTGTGACATTTCCGATAAGGCACAATAAGCATTTGTTCACACTATCTTTTGTTGTCTATAAATAGAGGGATTTTTTTCTCATTTTTAAAACAATGAAAATTCTGAACTACTTCTTCTGCACAATTAAATATTCGTGTACTTTACTCCTGTTGAGTGGCTCACTGACACCATTGTTTTTGTATCAATACATTGGTGAATAGAATCGTTCCATCCTTAGAGAACATTGTGCATTCAGTGGGCTCGATTTTTTCCGGGTAATTTTACTAGTATAGAGTAAATAAATAAATAAATATAATATAAAATATAGAATATATACTAAATTAAGTGTTTTAAGTTGGGGTATTATAGTAATTTAACATTCAAGTTAGGGAGTTCATGCTTTTAAGGATATATATATATATATATATATATAATACTAATTACTAATACTAATAGTGGGAAGCTCCATAGTTGAAAGTTGAATTACGAAAATATCCCTAATCATATTAAAAATAACCACTTTGTCCTAATAACTTAATTAACACTATTCCTCTAATAACTTTTACATGTTAGAAACTAAAATGTTTATCTGCTATCAATTGGATAATTAATTCAGTTTCACTGAAAGGGGGGGTGGGTACTAGTTCTATCTGCTACAATTTTTTTTTTTTTTGATAACCGAGAAATCCGTCTGTGACCCGCCCTTTGGACCAATCACAGCCTTCTAAACTCGGTGGATAATGGGCCCGCCCCTCTACCCCTCTACCCTTGTAGCAGCCTTCTATCTGCTACAATTATTGTAGACTATTAGTGTCCAAACCTTTTAAAATTACCAATTACAGTATCAAACTTGCCATATTACAGCATTTATATATTTGATCTTTTAAACTTCAACCAGTTAAATACTCTATACCCTTTTCATAGTTTTTGCACTTTATAAAGTTACCACACTGTCAGATTTCTTTATCATTTTATTCTTACTCCTCTTCTGTTAGACTACACAAAAAACTATTACTATTGCCCTTTTATTTGTTGAGTTTTGCCCAGTATAAGGTAATACTATTTTTTCCCTTTGAACAAGTTCAGTTTCTGCTTACTGCTTGAATATGGCTTGTGTTTACGAAATAATGTGTACAAATAATATATTTTAATTTAGTTATTTCACACTTTATTTTTTTAGTTTGCTCCAAAAATATCACTTTGGGAGTAATTACTGAACCAAATTCATAAGTATGTATATATTTCATGAGTCTGATTTTATATCCAACTTTATTGGTTTCGTTTTGTGTCATTTTGGATGCTTTGTGGCCTCTCACTTCTAATATAGTATAGATATTTATTTTTTAAACATTATTAGTATCATACCTGAATTTGCTATCTTCGTAAAGAAAGAAAATAACTCCCAAGCATGTATCTCATTTTGTTACATGACAGATGAATAATATTGCATTATAAATATATGTTATATTTGAATCTACTTTTTAACTCAATTGCTGTTCAACTTTGTAGGTTCAGAATTTCAACTGCTCATTATACACACATTTAAATAGAGTATTATATACTCCATTTTAGGAAGTCTATTTATTCGCATGAAACACACGTACGTTACACGTGTCCAGAAACTAGTGTACCAAAATGCCCTTTAATCTTGTGGCCTTAAACATGCCACGTGGAAGGTTGATGTTAAAGTGTTGTCAAAAAAGGAAAGGGGTCAATTCTTTTTAAAACAGACTAAAAAGGAAACTAGGCCATTCTTTTTTAAACAGAGGGAGTAATATTTATGTGACTTTATAAAGTTTGCACTCATTGACATGATTGTACACACGCATTGCGTGCTCATAGATTAGTTTTTCCTATATTTGTTGTGATCTCATATATGCACTGAACCAGCTAGCATATTTCAATTACCAAGTGCTAGATTCTGATTATTCTATTTGAATGGTTCTTTTGCAGGATACATAGCATATAATTTTGTAATAGGTGCATACTCGTATTGGGGACCAAAGGCTGGTTATTACATATACCACATGGTAAGCATTCGGGTCATCACTTCATAAGTATTCTCAAAAGACACATATGTAAATCTGTTGATAACATCTTTCTTTCTGTGAGATGGTCTTTCTTGGGAATTACTATTTGTAAGTTTAATGAGTTCAGTTGGTGAAATGCCCACCCTGTTACATTGTTTTTGTTGCATGAACTAGTTATCAGTCTTGAATTTTAAACAAATGAAAACCAAAAAGCATATGTCAGGGGTAGGCAACTGATCTGCAATTGGTTCCTTTTGCAGAACAATGCAGATCTGATGTTTGGAGGTGTTACTATCATATGTGGAATATTTGGAACCTTAGCAGGAGGTTTTATTCTGGATCGAATGACTAACACGATATCCAATGCCTTTAAGGTAGATTCCTAGCATTCCAAAGGTTTTCTTTTAATATCTAAATCTAACAAAACTGCTTTCAGATCTAAATATTTGGGAACGTGATCACTCTAGTTGTATTTGCATTTACACAACTGATCAGCCTTCTCTTGTGTAGTGTTCCTGATATGATGCAGGATACACTCAAGCGGATATAGTAAATAACAAATTGATTAATGCAAATGACTGGAGAGATTTTTTTTTTAGGAATTGAAGAATAAAAAGAAGCTTAGAACCTTATTGAATGTCCATGTTAACAATTGATATATGAAAATAAATATCACCCCAAATAACGACAATAAACAAAGCTGTAAATATTTTAAGAAAAAAAGAATTACTGTCATGAATTAAGCTTGAGAGTAATTGCCAAGTACAATCCAAACAAAGAGATTCTACCCTCACAATGTGTGTCTCGAATCTCAAAATATGTCACAAACTATCAACCAAGCTGATGAAAAATAAGTCCGGAGGTCCTTTTAAAGGACCAAATATCAAACAGAAATATCCACCAGTGCATTGCTATAGGCTTTAGTCTTCTGCACTGCAAGATTTCTGATAGAACGACCATAGCTTTGTGTAGGAGAGTCAAAATGACGAACCATTTAAACCTCTGGAAACTAGATTTCGATATCTAAAATATTGGTTTAGTTTGCATGTTTTTGATTGAGAAATATTCTCTAATGAAGTGAAGTCATGTGCTACTCAATCTCAAATGTTGCTCCAACTTTCCAACTCTATTTTTTGACCTCTAAATAGCTCCTTAGGTCCATAAGTTACCAGTTTTAAAAAAAATAGCTCCATAGCCCCATTTTGGCCCTCCATGAACCATATACATATGGTATATAAACTCAAGTCATTAAAAATATTTTTTTCTTATGCTATCCGGGCCTTCCAGGATCATAGCAGTTCCTTTTGATATTCTCTGCATGCAGTTGCATCCTTCTTGTGTTTTGACCTTTCCTGAAATGCGAAAGTGGTGTCTTAAGGCCTAGTGAAAGGTAGTACCTCACTTATTGAAAGAGGAGCTTGAGTAGTTCTTTCTTCAAGTGTGTCTGGTCTATTACCCATCTTGTGGAAAAGAAAATTTGAGAAAAGATAAATGAAAGAGAAAGGTTAGTCATGTCATGATCCAAAAACTGGAGGGTCATGACAGACATCTCCGAGCATTCTACCCACCAAGCTATCTCTGATTTTACTTATGGTTAACTCAATCAAGGCAAACAGTGGGACTTTAGGCAGTCCTGTTCCTGCAAATGGACTCCTGGTGGCCCTACTATCACGCAGCAGTTATGACAAAACATTATTAGTATCAAAACATGCATTTAGGGGTAAAGTCGCCACTTACTCAAGTTCGAAACTTAGGGGTTAATGCTATGTCTCTAGTATGTCACCATGTGGCAATCCACACAATTAACTGTTCCAAGGTGCCAATTACATCCAAATAAATCAGCTCTAAACGAGAGTCTTCGGACAAAGGTCAAGGTGGTCCGAATCCCGTCATACTGATCAACCCATTTCCATTTGATTTATAAATTACCCATAGCCTAATAAGATCAGAGTCCTATTACTAGGGCTCATCAAAATATCCAAACTATTCAATCCTCAAAAATTCTATGTTTAAAATTTTGGCAAATCTCATGAGTTCCTATCTTTTCTTAATTTTCTTGAATTGTGGATGGTTGGTAAGAATTTCTCAGCATATGAAGCAATGATAACAGTAAGATACATGCTAAGTGCAAGAAAATAGAGAGGAGAGAACTGTGGGGTGAGTTGGGTGCTATGAGAAGTCTGTGTGAAGGTCCTTGGGTAGTAGGGGGGGACTTCAATGTTATTAGATACCCGGCAGAAAGATCCAATTGCTCTAGGATTAATGGTGCTATGACTGAATTTTCTGAATGCATTGAGGAATTGGAATTAGTAGACCCTCCTTTATTTGGAGGGTCTTACACTTGGAGAAGAGGGGAAGGGCACCAAACAGCTTCCAGAATTGATAGATTTCTCTATAGCTCACAATGGGAGGAGCAATTCACTTTTATCAAGCAATCCACAATGCCAAAGTTGGGATCTGACCACAACCCAATTCTACTGACATGTGGGAATCTGAATTTCAAGAAGTCCTACTTCAAATTCGAAAATTGGTGGATGAGAGTGGAAGGATTCAAGGAAGAGGTGAAATTATGGTGGCAATCTTTTGTAATAACTGGAACCCCAGGTTTTGTTTTGGCAGAAAAGCTGAAACTTTTGAAAGGAAAGATGAAGGAATGGAGTAAGAATAATAGAAAAAATTGTAAAGCACAAAAGGAGGAGATTATGGAGGAGCTGGCCAAATGGGAAGCTGTACAGGAACAAAGAGTGCTCACAGAGGAGGAGATCCAACAAAAAACAAATTTGGCTAGCACTTATGAGCAAGTAGCTAAGAATGAAGAAATAAGATGGAGGCAAAGATCAAGAATCCAGTGGCTAAAGCAGAGGGATAAAAATACTAAGTTTTTTCACAGAGTAGCGACTTCTCAAAAGAGGTATAATTCCATTGAGTCTCTACTGGTGGATGGATGCAATACTAATGATCCCTCTGTCATTAAAGAGACCATCAAAAGCTTCTACCAAAATTTGTACACAGAACCAGAGGAGTGGAGGCCTGAGCTACAATTACAAGGGATCACAACCATTAGTGTGGAGGAGCAGATAGAACTAGAGGGTCCTTTTGAGGAGGAAGAGATCTTAGGCTGCTTAAAGCTTTATGCTATGGAGAAAGCACCTGGACCTGATGGTTTCCCATGTCCTTTTACTTGTCTTTCTGGAGATCCTAAAAGAGAATATTATAAAGGCTATACAAGAATTCCAGGCTAGACAGATTACTGAGAAGAGCTTTAATGCTACTTTTGTAGCACTCATCCCCAAGAAAGCCAGTGCTGCTGAACTTAAAGACTTCAGACCAATAAGTCTGATTACTGGAGTTTACAAGATATTAGCAAAACTACTGGCAGAAAGGCTGAAAAGAGTGATTGATAAGCTTGTCAACAAAAACCAAATGGCATTCATTAAAGGAAGACAAATAATGGATGCCGCTCTCATTGCAAGCGAGTGTGTGGACTCCAGATTGAAAGGAAACATTCCAGGGGTAATGTGCAAGCTGGACATTGAAAAAGCATACGATCATGTAAATTGGGGTTTCCTACTAAACACCTTGAGACAAATGGGTTTTGGAGAAAGATGGGTGGCATGGATTAAATTTTGCATAAGCACTGTGAGAATCTCCATTCTTGTAAATGGAGAACCGGTGGGTTTTTTTCTCTTCAGGAAGGGGAATCAGACAAGGTGATCCTCTTTCACCCTTTTTATTTATCCTGGTAATGGAGGGGTTTGATAGCTTGATAAGGATTGCTACTCAAAATAGGTGGATCAGAGGTTTCCAGATTAGTGGAAACAATGGTGATATTAAAGAGATTTGCCATCTACTTTATGCAGATGACACCGTGATTTTCTGTGAGCCACGGGAGGAGCATTTAGATTCATCAAACTAATTTTGTTGTTTTTTGAACCTTGTACAGGTCTGAAAGTTAACTACTAGACAGATTACTGAGAAGAGCTTTAATGCTACTTTTATAGCACTCATCCCCAAGAAAGCCGGTGTTGTTGAACTTAAAGACTTCAGACCAATAAGTCTGATTACTGGAATTTACAAGGTGATTGCAAAACTACTGGCAGAAAGGCTGAAAAGAGTGATTGATAAGCTTGTCAACAAAAACCAAATGGCATTCATTAAAGGAAGATAAATAATGGATGCAGCTCTCATTGCAAGTGAGTGTGTGGACTCCAGCTTGAAAGAAAACATTCCAGGGGTAATGTGCAAGCTGGACATTGAAAAAGCATACGATCATGTAAATTGGGGTTTCCTACTAAACACCTTGAGACAAATGGGTTTTGGAGAAAGATGGGTGGCATGGATTAAATTTTGCATAAGCACTGTGAGAATCTCCATTCTTGTAAATGGAGAACCGGTGGGTTTTTTCTCTTTCAGGAAGGGGAATCAGACAAGGTGATCCTCTTTCACCCTTTTTATTTAGTCTTGGTAATGGAGGGATTTGATAGCTTGATAAGGATTGCTACTCAAAACAGGTGGATCAGAGGTTTCCAGATTAGTGGAAACAATGGTGATATTAAAGAGATTTGCCATCTACTTTATGCTGATGACACCGTGATTTTCTGTGAGCCACGGGAGGAGCAATTTAGATTCATCAAACTAATTTTGTTGTTTTTTGAACCTTGTACAGGTCTGAAAGTTAACTAGGGAAAGAGCAGTTTATATCCTATTAAGGATGTGACAAACATCCAAAGTCTAGCTGACATTTTGGGCTGTGGAGTGGGGAAATTTCCCATAACTTATTTGGGTATGCCTTTAGGTAATACACACAAAGACTTGAAGATATGGGACAACATAGTCGAGAAGACTGAAAAGAGACTAGCCAGATGGAAGGCTCAATACATTTCTTTTGGTGGTAGACACATTCTTATCAACTCTGTT